CCGATTGCGCGCGATGAGAATACGTCTCTTAATTGAATTGTAAATATCAATTGTAAATGTTAATTAATTAATCAATTCATCTGTCTTTTTTTAATCATTCTATCTTACTAACTATCGCATCTTTCGTCAAGATTAAGTATAATTCTGCATTATTTTCTTTCTTTGACTTTGAATTATGTTACGCACGCAACATGCCGCTCGACGGCTCTTCGAGAATACGAATATACGATCATATTTATATATATTACGCGTGTTTTTTTTATATCAACATAACAGCTACCAAAAAATCACGGATATGTACAATTAGAGATATGCCCGGTTGACGCATCAAGCTCATTTTGAATGATATATAATTTGCATCAGATTTTAGGGTAGAATTTTTTTCTATATAATTTTATATATTGACGCTGACATTGAAGTATAATATTTTCATTTGAAATCTAGCATCAAGCATTAAAGTGAAATTGTACTATTAAGACTATAAGTAAAAGTTTATCCTGAATTTTGACGCGAATTATAGATCGTTTAAAGTGTGCTTCAGCATCTATTCATTCGACCTTTTGCTTCATCTCTTTGAGGATAATCTTCCGTTCGATTTCTGTCGTTCTGCCCATCTCTCATTCTTTGTCTTCTTCTCCTACTTTCCTCGTGCGGTCCGCATTTTCGACCGACGAAGAAAACAAGGAGCCTTAATACTGATTTACCGTTTATATTTAGGATCGGCTCCTGGGAGTTCCTTCGGTAATTTCCTTAATCAGAGTGGTCCCAAAAAATATTAAGAAGTAATCGTTTCGTGTGTGCGCACCGCTCTTGATACAATCATCTTTTAAATACGCTCACCGAGTTCTTTAATGTCAGCCTCGAAAACGAGATAAAAGATTGAAAATATCGTCAAACGCGGATCGTTAAACATGTTGTTATAATATGTTATAGTGAAAACAATATTGCGTATATATCGTAAGGAAAAGTAAAACGTTTTATTTATTATCTCAATAAATTCTATTCAATATCATTGAACATGTTATTATAATATGTTATAGTGAAAACAATATTGCGTTTTATATATCATAAGGAAAAGTAAAGTAAGTTTTATTTGTTATCTCAATGAATAAATTTTATTATCTCAATGAATTAATTTTCAATACTGAATAATAATTAAATAATAATTAAATAATAACAGATAATAAATGTTTTGTGCATGTCGATAGCTATTAATGGAGTGAGTAAATTAAATAGTCTGCAGTGAATATCGTATTGTTATCATTTGAATAAAGTAGAGATTTAATTTTACATATAATTCATATAACATAATTTTCATAATTCATAACAGAACATCGAAGTCCATTTTGTTGAATTTTATATTAAACTGAAAATAAAATTATGAATTAATTGTAATTGGTTTTATTGAGGAAAATATAAAATTTTAAATTGTGATTTTACAATGGACAATGTTGTCTGCCAACAGCTTGCACGCACCTTGTTGTGACATTCGGCGGCGGCACAGCGACGAATAGTTACAACGATTGCAACGCTTGATAGATACGGTCCTTTTACAATCGATGATCTTGATACGGGGGTTTAGTCGGAGGTCCAAGGAGCGTCGAATATTAATTATAATAATTAATGTTATTAGTAGCCATTGTTCATTGCTGCTATATACATAATGTTCCTTGAGGATGTTATGTATTAGGTAAATACTGTTGTGGTATATCGGAATATACTTTGATTTCGCAGTATTTAGTATAAATTACACATAATGATGAAAGTACACATAATGATGAAAGTTGGGAGCACAAAAGTTTCCGCCGTTTGCAAAAGACGGCGCCACTAATAAACTATAGTTAAAATTGTTTGATATAAAACGACATATCGTAAGATTAGATATCCGGCAACACCATAACCTTGAATATTAACGATTTTGATTCAGCATCATACATTTCTTTTTGTACGAAAATGTTGAGTTTTGAGCCGAATAAGCGTCATTTACGGGAATTTTTGATCTACTTCTTTAATTTGAAAAAATCTGCAGCTGAGGCTCATAGATTGCTTGTAGAAGCATATGGTGATGCTGCCTTAAGTGAGAAAAGTTGTCGTGAGTGGTTTCAAAAGTTTAAGAACGGTGAATTTGACGTCGAAGACAAAGAACGTAGCGGCCGAAAGTATACGAAGACGCGGAATTGGAAGCATTATTGGATGAAGATTCGTGCCAAACGCAAAAAGAGAACAAGAAAGAGAACTTGCACTTATATTAGGAGTGATTCAACAAACTATTTCATATTGTTTGAAATCATTGGGAATGATTCAAAAGCAAGAGAATTGGGTTCCATGAACTGACGCCGAGAAACGTTGAACGCCGATTTTTTACATGTGAAATGCTGCTTGCCAGGCATAAACGAAAGGGTTTTTTGCATCGTATAGTCATTGGTGATGAAAAATGGATCCACTACGATAACCCAAAAAAGAGGAAATCATGGGGACCACCTGATTATGCTTCAACATCGACAGCCAAGCCGAATATTCATAGAAAAAAACTCATGTTATGTATTTGGTGGGATCAGCTTGTGTCGTGTATTATGAGTTGCTCAACCAAACGAGACCATTACTGGGGCTCTCTACCGACACAATTGATGAGATTGAATCGAGCATTCAAGGAAAAACGCGCCCACTACTACTCCAGGTATGACAAAATTATTCTCCTGCATGGTAATGCTCGACCACATGTTGCGGCGCCGGTCAAAACCTACTTAAAAACACTCAAATAGGAAGTTCTACCCCACCCGCCGTATTCTCTAGACATTGCTCCTTCCGACTATCACTTGTTCCGATCGATGATGCATGGCCTGTCTGAGCAGCACTTCACATCATATGAAGATACCAAAAATTGTATCGATTAAATAGCCTTAAAAGATGAAGCGTTCTTCCGACACGGTATCCACATGCTACCACACAGAAAGATGGGAAAAAGTAATGGCTAGCGATGGCCATTACTTTGAATAAAACATACCGTTCTTTCATAATAAATGTTTAATTTTTGATAAAAAACGGCGGAAACTTATTTGTACTCCCATGTGTATTTGTTGCGCTTGCCAAATTATTGTGTGATTTCATGATTTATTAGACTTCTGTTAACATTTGAGAAATTTTAATACATCGTAGTATGCACGTTATTTGCGTGTATAAGGTGATCAGAAAACAAAAAAGCTAAAAAGAGGGAAAGAGATAGAAATAAGTATAATCAACAAAAAAAAAATCGATTATTTAAATAATTAATCGATTTTTTTTTTGTCTTAAGGACAGAAGTGATGAACAAGATTATCTGCAGTTCGATTTGCACGATAATCGAAAAGCGTAATCAATTTATAATCACATTTATTTAATATTGTTTTTTAAAAACAAATAGTCGATTATTTTTATCATTAAAAAGAGAAATATTTTAGATTTTTACAAAATATATTGTAACTTCTTATCTTTCCAGAAGAAGAAAAGGAAAAATTATAACGGAATATATGTCAAATGCTTTCATAAATACAAAAACATTGCAAGCAACGAAAAATACATTGGAAAAAATGGGACACATGATCACCTGACTACTCGCAATATTGTCAAATGAGTTGGTAGTACTGAATTACATGCTGATCAGCATGCTTCTGAAAATATTTTATAACGATTGCAGTAACTAATAGTATTATAAATACATTTGTTTTTATTTATTGGGAGTACAAATAAGTTTTTGCCGTTTTTTATCAAAAATTAAACATTTATTATGAAAGAAGAGATTATGAAGAAGAAATTAAGCATTTATTGTGAAAGAACAGTACATTCAAAGTAATGGCCATCGTTAGCCATTACTTTTTCCCATCTGGTAGCATGTGCATACCGCGTCGGAAGAACGCTTCATCTTTTGAGGCTATCCAATCATCGATACAATTTTTGGTATCTTCATATGATGTGAAGTGCTGCTCAGACAGGCCATCGATCAACAAGGATCAACATCGGAACAAGTGATAGTCGGAAGAAGCAATGTCTGGAGAAAACGGCGGGTGGGGTAGAACTTCCTATTTGAGTGTTTCTAAGTAGGTTTTGACCGGCGCCGCAACATGTAGTCGAGCATTACCATGCAGGAGAATAATTTTGTCATACCTGGAGTAGTAGTGGGCGCGTTTTTCCTTGAATGCTCGATTCAATCTCATCAATTGTGTCGGTAGAGAGCCCCAGTAATGGTCTCGTTTGGTTGAGCAACTCATAATACACGACACAAGCTGATCCCACCAAATACATAACATGAGTTTTTTTCTATGAATATTCGGCTTGACTGTTGATATTGAAGCATAGTCAAGTGGTCCCCATGATTTTCTCTTTTTTGGGTTATCGTAGTGGATCCATTTTTTATCACCAGTGACTATACGATGCAAAAAACTCTTTCGTTTATACCTGGCAAGCAGCATTTCACATGTAAAAAATCGCATTCAACGTTTCTCGGCTTCAGTTCATATGGAACCCAATTCCCTTGCTTTTGAATCATTTCCAATGATTTCAAACAATATGATTTCAAACAATATTGTTTGTTGAGTCACTCCTAATATAAGTGCAAGTTCTTTTTGCGTTTGGCACGAATCTTCATCCAATAATGCTTCCAATTCCGCGTCTTCGTATATTTTCGGCCTTCCGCTATGTTCTTTGTCTTCGACGTCAAATTCACCGTTCTTAAACTTTTGAAACCACTCATAACAACTTTTCTCACTTAAGGCAGCATCATCATATGCTTCTACAAGCAATCTATGAGCCTCAGCTGCAGATTTCTTCAAATTAAAGAAGTAAATCAAAAGTTCCCGCAAATGACGCTTATTCAGCTCAAAACTCGACTTTTCGTACAAAAAAAAAATATATGATGCTGAATTAAAATCGCTAATATTTCAAGGTTATGATGTTGCCGGATGTCCAATCTTATGATATGTCGTTTTATATCAAACAATTTTAACTATAGTTTATTAGTGGCGCCGTCTTTTGCAAATGACGGAAACTTATTTGTACCCCCAATATTTTTCTTATTTGTTTTCAGTAATTTGATCTACAAATCGGATTAATCAGATTTTTATCTTTCTTTCCATACTTAGCAAATAAAACAATTGTTTTCGGTTCTCACTGATTTATTCTCTTCTATCAAATGATATTTCTTTTATCTATCAAATAATGTTTTTCTTATTTTATTTGTTTTACTTACTCATAATCAGAGATATGTGTACAAATGAAATTGCCCGGTTTGTTTCTCATTTCTTCTATTTATCTGTTTCGCTCATTTGGTCTCTTATGTGGATATGTGATATGATTACGTATTTTCGGACAGACATGAAGAGTAAGGAAGGAAGTGGTATCCAAAAATATACAGAGTCCCCAGTGACGTCGCGAAGCATCTCGGAGAAAGATATGACTAGTATATATATTTCTATATTTTTCTCATAGTATTAAAAAATCCTGGTGTTTTCGTGTCGTACAGCTATACAGATTCGCCTAAAAGTCAGTCTGCGGAGCCGTCTCGAAAAAATATAAAATATTTGGGACGATTCGGACGTGGAAGACGGGGCAAGGCTATCTCGCGACCTCACTGGTTTGCGACGTCAGATATTGTTCCATATTGTTTCTCATTAGTTAATTAATTAACGTTATTAGCGAAATTATTTTCCATAAAATTAGGCTACCGGCTTCGAGCATACGACGAAGATCGTCGATGATCGAATGCCTTGTCACGTGAAAAAATAATCGAATAGAGCAATAGCACATTCGGACGCGGTTTTTCATTCCATCGACACTCCTTGGTCTCGTATTTATAGTCTACGTATACATACGCTCGCTAAAACAGTTAGGAGAGAGGGACGGTAATCGAGAATGCAACACCGATCTACCCTCTAGCGTTAACAATATATGTATAGTAAATACGTTTTTTAAGTAGCAACTCCCAATATACATTATGATATTCTCATCGGATTCTATACTCAAATTCCTTATCACATGGTTGACTAGACGCAGAAAAAAATTATTAACATTAATAGAGCGAACAAATAAAGTGCGATAACAGCGATATATAACTTTATTACAGAGTTTATACGCGATAGCGTAACTCTTGTATCAATGGAAAACCTCAGGTACGACGTAAATGATAAAAATAATGCTTATGACGAGAAGTCACATGAAGCTACGTAATTTCTTTGGAGATGCGATATATCGATTAGACGAAGGCGAATCCGATATATTTCAAACGGAAACATGTTTGAACAGGGAAGCACTTCTAATACGTCTAAACATTACGAATATGTCACGGATCTAAAAATCACTTAGAATCGTCGTTTGGCAAAATGTTTAGAGATCGCCCGGTGCGATCTCTCTCTTTTCGTTGTACAAAAATAATAAAATCAGACATGACGCGTGATATTTAATTTTTTTTTCGACGCGCCAGCGCGTCTCAAACGCGGAAGCTGCAGCATCAATCCGCGTCTGATACAAATTTACTGCCATGTAACTAAATTCAATATGATGCTTGGCTTTCATGCGAATTTAAAGGATTTAAGAATCGTCGCTTTGCCACTTAATGATTGTACTACGTCGTAAGTTTAGATATATGCTATATCTTTTTAAAACTCTTGAAAAATCTTTGAAAATTGCGGCGTAATAATCTCCATGTCGGTATCGTTCGATTCTCTTTGAAAAGTTCGATTTGCCGAAGTTATTTTCTGCAGTGATGGCGATTTTATCATTCAATATTTCGCTCAAATATCGTGAAGATAATCGAATTTAACAATGTCGTGTTGTTTTCCAGACATTAAAATTTCCCAAAAAGTTATTTTGCTCTTTCTCGAAGAAATTAATTTTTTTTTCTTTTTCTATTGGAGAAATTTTTTTGCATATTATCACATAATTAGTGATGAAAACACATTGTCTGATATATCGCGATAGATATTAAGTATTCTGTTCGTACCACTTGTTCTTGTTCATTCGGCTTAACGACTTATAGATTCTAACTTGTTCGATCGTCCATGTGACGCTTGTATTACATAAATTCTTGATAAAGTGAAATCTTTCAGCTCTCTGAAGCTCTTCTTTTAATTTGAGATCGCACCTCGACAGGATCGTCGGCATGAAAAATGTTTCGCAAGACCAGAACTAGTTTCTGATCATAATAATTGGACTACGAGCTTACGGGTGACTTCTCCGAGCGGCGAAGATCGATGATATCGACGACGCCCTTGACTGCCACTATGACTTCCAGCTCATTAATTTTCTGAACGAGACCTTCTTCAGTTGAAAAGCAACATTCAGTATGTCAGATTCACGCGTATCTTCTCCATCAGAATGAACTTCTCGTCTACGTCCCGACATCATTAGCCGATGTCTCAGGCCTCTAGAAGTGGGGTCCGACAGTGCTTCCGAAACAGGCACCTTTTCTTTGCTGGATCCTGGCAGGGACACTGATCTACCTACGGAAAATCCCTTACTGAGTCTATCGAGGGTCGCTGGCAACAAGTTCCGTCTCGGAATGGCTTGTTCTCTTTCTCTAAGGATAAACCTGCCGAGAGTTTTCCAAAAGGCTTGAGTGGTATAAACATTTTCATCGTCACTCAATACTCTTAACTGACGATTTCCACTTCCGACAGCACCCGCACCACCCCATTCCAGCTCCTCGACCAGAGCAAACTTGGTTGGGTTCTCCATTCTTCTGGCCTTTATCAGAGCTTGCGCTAACACGTCTTGAGCTGAACTGCTTATCGGCACACGTAGAATCGCATAAGGGATCTCCGGCGAAACGTTATAAATGCAGACTAGAAAGGTGTCTGCCTCGTCCCATATGTGAGTGGATTGGTCCCTCGTGTTGGAATCGTTGAGCTTCGAGTGGCCGGCCGTGCTTCTGATAGAGGCGAGCCACGCTCTACTGCTTGGATCATCGCCTACTCGCTTCAACAGGAAGCGACCTTGCCCTTTCCATAGGGCCTGTGCTTGAAGGGGATGTTCTGTAGGATCCAGCACACGTTGAGTCGGTAGCTCTTCCTTGTCTCTTTTCTCCCATCCGCGGGACACTTCCTCTACCAAAATGTACTCATCTACATGATCCGGCGATATTCCGGCCTTCTGCAACGCCTGCAGCATCACCTCTTGCGTAGTACTCTCCTGGGTCACTTTCAGAATGGTGTACGGCTCGTCTGGTATCACATGATAAACCATTAGGAAGAACATTCGTCTCTTCAAGGTGACACCACCTAGGGATCCGGGATCAACGGTGCTCAGTTTCTCAGGTTCTTTGCTCGACGAGAGACGCTTAGATGACTCTTTATGATCACGGCAGCAGGTGTTATAGTCCAAACTCTCCTCCTCCAAGCGGGAATAGATAAAAAGCGTAGAAAGGGCTAATGGCTTGTTTTTACAAGATCGTAATCGTACGTGTCGATAGCCAGGTCGTAGACATTTAAGCGGTATTACGCGTTGCGCGATCACGTGATGAGAGCTTGCTTCGATAACACCGAAACGTAGGAAGGCGAGATCTTTGAACATCACTTGGAAGCAGAATTTTTCATTCCAGATAGGATTCAACGCATTGTTATGGATCACCTTTGTTTTGTGTTTCGCGCAATCGATCGGTATACCGACCAACTCGACCTCAACATATGTGCTGGTGACGAAGTTCGTAACCGAAACGTATTGTCCTGAGACTATTGATAGACTTAAATGCGCAGAATGCAGCCCATCGAATTCTTTGTCCCAAGGGTTGAATCGCCTATAAAAACATTTATAATTGTTCAAGAAAATTTTTTAGAAAATAATTTAGCGTTCAGAAATAATTCTTTATTTAACTATCTTTTTTTTAACATACAAAAATATCTATTATAAAAATTTCTATTATAGCAAAGATAAATTTTTAGAATGAATTAGATTAGAAACAATTTGACACCTATTGCTTATGATTTATAATTAATCGATCTCTTAAGGATTGTATGCTACATTCATAATTATTATTGTTGCATAATTAGAAAATTTGTAAGAAATCTAACAGAATGTGAATTTACCTGTACATCATATGACCTTTATCCCACATCACTGAAGGTTTTCTAACATATCCGCATTGACCGCTTTGCTCAAACATGGCTGAATTCAGATTTAATCCCGCGTCATCAGTTTGATAATTCAACGCAACCATTTGGATTCCAAAAGCCCAAAATATTACAGGATTGAAATTTGTGGAATCAATACGCATTCCTGCAGGATACGTTCGAATGAGTTGAGTTTCAGCATGAGCGACTACGCCTAACGGTTGTTTCCTACAGATTTTCTTCGCCGAGCTTTCGTTCAGAGATGAACATTGGAAACAGGCCGGCATTCCACGAGTGGATCTAATAAGAACAGAAACATACTTCTGTGTTTTTTTTTATTTACAAAATCAGTATTTGTCGATTAATGTCAATATGATAACGCCGAAAAATTTTGAAAAAGAAAATACGCAAGAAAACGACGCAAGACAATAAAAATAAACTAAAAAAATATAATGAGACAAATATGTGTGATATATAAATATAGGAATGAATAGAGAAAATATTGTACAATAAAAAACTGACCTGAAGATATTATCGATGTTGCTACCGCCGCTCGCGATCGAGGCGGACGTCGAAAGTGATTGCGGCGATCCTGATGAGGAAGCTATACTGCTAGGTCCTATACCGGCGATGCTATGCCTCTGAACTGGTCCTGTATGCGATTGATGACGTATTTTTCCTGGTCCGACTGGCATAGTATTTAGTCCGCGAAATTTAATCGCCTGCAGATAAATTACCAAGTCCGACAATTCCTTGGCTATCTGACTACTTTGCTTTTGCGTCTTGTCATCCACTCCTGGATCCGATTTTAAACGACCGTGCGGCACTTGGCCACCACCCAGATATCTCTCGTAGCTCGAAATCGAATTATCTGTAATTACACGTTAAATATTGTAACTCGTTTCAGTGAATTTTTAATTGATTGCAATTATTATATTTCTCGAAAGCAAAGAAGAGAGAAGGTTGGATTTATATTAAACTCAAAGATAATATATAAGTGTAATGTATAAGTGATAAAAGCAAAAGATAATTAAATAGGATACAGTGACAATGTAGCCACTGCAACATATTTAGATTAAATTTGAACTTAGGAAGGCTCTTAAAAACAGAAATTTATAATGAATTTCAATATTCTTTTTTGAGAAAATATATATCTGATTGATATTACAGATTAAATTTTCCAAGTATTAATAATATATTATTTTTACCATCGATGTTGTCATCCTCATCGTCATCCTCTTCGTCATCTTCATCCTCGCTAAAATATTCCACGACTGATGTGCTGCTTACATCAGTCCGCATTTGTTTCATGGAAGATGCGCGATCCGTCATAAGCATTTTCCCTCGATGACTAAGGGGTGTGTGCGACAAGGGGCCGGCAGGATCGATCACCAGCTTCTTATTTTTTATCAAAATTCGGTAACGAAGTTGCGAAGGCGAAGGCAGTTGAGGATCGTCACTGAAGTCGGACTCGAAGAGAAATTTCGTCACCAATTTCTCGCCAAAAACAGACTGAAATGATATTATATTTTTTTATAATAATTTGATTCAAGCGCGATGATAATCACTAAGAAAATATAATTTGTTAGATAATCAATCGAGTACCTGAAATATTTGAGCCATACGAGCTTGCTGACTTGGCGAACAATGATTCTCGATGGAAAGGATTATGGGATAAGGGGAACTGACAAAGGCGCTTCGATCTATCGCTTCCACAACGGAGCGAAATGGTATTTTCGTAGTGAAAGTATGACCATGATAAATCAATGGTGATCCATCGTCACCGTCCCAACAATCGAGCTCTACACAACGACATCCGGTTAAAAGCACCTGCATAAATTTTTGTTGTTATCAAACAATAAGTTTTATACGCGCTAATTACTACTTTATTCGAATGGAAATTTGCATAACTTATTTCACGCGATTCAAATTTCACGCATGTTTTTAATTTAATATAATAATAATATTTTTTCATAATTCTTGGATATATGATATATATA